AAGATGAGTAATGCTCATCCTCTCTCCTAGGGATCTGAAAGATTTGGGAAAGCAGACAGTGGGAAGAATTGAAAGCATAAATGCAGTGTGCTAGGACAAAGTCTGGGCTAGAATGCCAGTTTTATGCTTTCTTAATGATAATGCTAAAGAAAAGACCTTTAGAATCAGAAATCAATTGTCATGCTCCAGCACAAAATAGCAATGATGGGACAGAGGAATTAAAAAAAATGTTAGAGGGTATACCACATTCTAGGAATATTCAAATTTGCCATCTTCACAGTAAGCTCACTATCATTATAAGCAGGTTGAGTAACTTTCCAAGGTGTATAAAACTGAAAGGTAAGAGCCAGAATTTAAACCCAGGTTATCCAGCTGCATACTGCTTTGTATCCTTTATTTCCTTTTATCGGTGCTTTTTACAGAACCCTTCTCATGCTAAATTGTGAAGATTCGTACTTGCATTTCCCCCGCCCCAGGAGCCAGGTGGATCTACTATGAGAGGGTTGTTAGCAACCCTTCTTCTGCCCTTTCTTCTTTCACTTCCTTGAATTAGCCCCTTCCTCCCACTACTCTGTCCTGACTTCTCCCTCTCCTTCCAATCTCAATGAAGCTATTGGGGAGTGAACAGCTTGCTGAGAGGGCTCCCTGCCTGTGCAGTCACCAGTATACTTATCCTGGGACAAAGCCCACAAAGAGAAGCAAGACATTTGCTGATAATTCTTCCCAGGGAATTAAAAATAGATAAAAATCCAACAGCCCTAAGTTTGTGGAGCTGTAAGGAATTTCACACGTGATCATCAGAATTGTTCATCTTAAGGATTAAGAAGCTAGGGTCCACCAAATGAAAGCAGGTGTTCCATGTCACTCAGAGGTGTGAGGTAGATGTCATTCAAGTCCCTTGGATTCCAGGCCAAAGCTTCTCCACCAATCAGCTGCCTCTTTAGTTTTTCCCCAGTAACAACTCCATTTCCATTGGAAGAAAGCTCAGGGTTGATGTCTCCACAAGCCCCACAGGCCAGGGCCTTCCTTGGTCTGGGTTCTGATCAGCTCCTGTCCTCATCTAAAGAATAGGAAGTGGCTTCATTTTTAGCTCTGAAAGCACATTCTAGGGGCGGGAAAGGGGGATTTGCGGAAGAGAGTTCCTGTTTCGGATGGTCAAAAGTGGTCAGTTGATGTTTAATTCTTGCTTGAATAAGGGGAAGATACAAGGTCAGATATGTAAGGGGAATAGGGTTGCCATTGGGTGCTAACCACACAGCCAGAATGCAGGATATAGAGCAGAGTCTGCTCAGTATGCCAGCATGCGGGTTCAGGGAGGAGCATCAGAATGGGAAAATATGCAAGAAGTCTATACAGTGTAAGGGCTCCCCAACCCTCTTCTGGTGGCCAGAAATTCCACTGCCAAGGCAGGGAGGAGGAACACATTATACAGTTTAATAATTTATACAAATTAGAAAGTTTACTGTGTGAAATGAGCAGGACTCAGGAGGATAACACAGAACCAAACATTTATGTCTTCTCTTAAAGCATGGAGGGTTGGAGGTGATTTTTTAAAAATTTATTTATTTATTTGAGAAGCAAAGAGACAGAAATGGAAAATGAAAGGTCCACAGTACCCATCCACTACTGACAGTCTCCCGATGTCTGCAATAGCCAGGAAAAGACCCGAGGCCAGGAGCCAGGAACTCAATCCAGGCCTTCCACCTTCTCCCAGAGACCCTACTCTTAGGACCATCACTGCTGCTATTCAGGGTCTGTATCTGCTAGAAGATGAACTGTAAGTGGATCTGGGACTCGAGTGCAAGCACTTCAGTGTGGGTAATAAGCACCAGGCCTACCCTAAGATGGTATTTCTTGATAACCTTGCCTGATCATCTAACAGACCATCGAAAAACAAGCCAGTTTCCCCTCCCTCTGATGGCAGCCAAGTCTTGGCTCCTGCTGCTCAGATCACATCTAACCTTAGTATTTAACAGCAGAGACATCAAAATACACAGACCTTGATCTATGGATCTGGGCCTGGAAGAGACTGCGCTCATTCACCTCTATCAATGTTTCCGAATCTGGCAGCCCAGCTTAGTCCTCTGGATGTTCATTACAATTTTAGACTGCCAGGAACCAGCTCAGAGATTGATGAGGGAGAGCAAGACTGGAAACTAGAAATCTTCATTGTGTACAAGCAGGCCCTGTTTAAGAATAAATTATCTTGAAGGAGGAGTGGGGGGAGGGCAGTGCTGTGGCATAGTAGGCTAAAGTTCCTTCTGCAGCACCAGCATCCCATATGGGCTTCGGTTTGTGTCCCAGATGTTCTATTTCTGATTCGGCTCCCTGCTTATGGCTTGGGAAAGAACTGGAAGATGGTCCAAGTGTTTGTGCCCCTGTACCTATATGGGAAACCTGGAAGAAGTGCCAGATTCCTGGTTCTGGACCAGCTTAGCTCTAGCTGCTGGGGTCATTTGAGGAGTGAACCAATGCATGGGAAATATCTTGTTCTCTGTCTCTCCTCTTTCTGTAACTCTGCCTTTCAAATACAAATAATTAAGCTTTGAACAAAACAACAAATTATCTGATTCGCTCTATTCATCAACCTGTCAAAACTGTTACACTGAGCTGCTGGTTTATACAGCAAAGAAGACTAAGGTGCCAAAACCCAGGTTATAGTGGCAGTACTTGGAACAAAGCCTGGTTGCCTGCCTGCTGGTGTGAGGTCTTTCTTTGTCAATGACCTCACACAGTTTTCCTCCCCCAATGCACCAGTCCATTGGGAACTCATGGGGAATCATTCATTCAGTTCTCTCTTGGACTTCCGGTGGTGAAACTGGTAAGGTCTTGGGTGAAGGTAGTTTGAAGGGGACCCTCAGAAGGCTGTGTCCTATGTCCGGGTGGGTTAAAAGCCGAAGGTCCAGCTGATGGCTTTGAAAGCACCACTGCCCAGTGTTCCAGACAGAAAGAACAGTCAGCTCACAGTGGAAGTAGCCAGCTGTGCCAGAGGAGCCAGAGGAGCGGAGGCAGAGTGAGTATAGGTGAGAAGGGAAGAGATGGTGTCTGGGTTGCAACCGAGGCCAGACCACGTGGGCCCTCTAGGCTGCCTTAAGAACCCTGGATTTTCCTCTCAGAAATTGAGGCATTCCACAATTTGACATGCTTTCACAGGGTGCTCGGACATAGTGGTGAGAACAGACTGTCCACGGCAGGCACACAGCAGGAATGGAATGAGGAGGATCTGTAATATCCAGGGGACAAAGTGTGTTGGCTTAAATTTAGTTTGGAGGCATCCAGGTGCCGACAGATGGTTGGTTCCAGATGATTTTAAACGCAGAGCTGGGGCCGATGTTTGGCCTAGTGGTTAAGACACCTTTGTCCTGTGGGACCAGTAGTGAGTAAAGCTGCCACCTGTGACAGTAGCATTCTATGTGGGTACCAGTTTTATTTTTGGGTGCTCCACTTCTGATCCAGCAGCCTGCTTGATGCACCCAGAAAAGTAGCAGAAGATGGCCCAAGTGCTTAGGCTCCTGTACCTGCATGGGAGACTAAAAGAAGTTCTTGGCTCCTGGCTTTAGGCTAACCCAGCTCTGGCCATTGCAGCCATTTGAGGGAGTAAGTCAGTGGATGAAAGATCTCTCTCTGAAACTTTTTCAAATAAATAGATAAATATTTATAAAAACAATGATTAAGACACCTGTGTCTCACATCAGATTGCCTGGGTTGATGTCCAACTCTGATTCCTGATTCCAACTTACTGCTAATGTGGACCCTGGGAGGGCACTGTGGTAGCTCAAGTGGTTAGAACCTTGCCACCCATATGGGAGACCTGGATTGAGTTCCAGGCTCCTGGCTTCAGTGGAGCCCCATCTCTACCACAAGCATTTGGGGGGTATGCCAATAGATGGGTGCTATTTCTCTGTCTGGCTTTCCTTACATTATATGTAGTTTTTAAAAAGATTTATTGTATTTACTTGAAAGGTAGAATTACAGAGAGAGGAGAGACACATAGAGAAATCTTCAATCTACTGGTTTTCTCCCCAAATGGTCAGAATTTGTCTAGACCAAAGCCAGGAGCATGGAGCTTGTTTTGGGTCTCCCATCTGTATGCAGGGGTCCAAGGACCTGGGCCACCCTTTGCTGTTTTCCCAGGCCATTAACAGGAAGCTGGATTGGAAGTGGAGTAGCCAGGTCTTGAACCAGTGCCCATAAGGGCATCCCAGTCGGTTTGTTTAACCCATTATGCCACCATGCTGGCCCTGATAATATATTTTTAGAAATAGTGCTAGAAGATTTCTATTGGACTGGATGTGAGATAGGCAATTACAGGAAGAGTCAAGGATGGTGCCAGGTGGTTAGGTTTGCGCCTTGGTGAGACCAGTCTCCATCAGCTGAGACAAAGGCATTTTGGAGGAGACACAGCAGGAGCACACTGAAGTCTGTGAAACACATGGGGCCAAACATGACACAAAATGCCGGGCACTGAACCAAGGGCTCAGAAAAGGCTGGCCACAAGCTTTGAGGCATCACAGGTATACACAACCACAAAGCCTTAGTCTGGATGAGGACCTCAAGGTAGTGAGATGAACAGAAGAGAAAAGGAACTGTGCCTGGAGATCCTCCAGAATTCAGAAGTCAGAGAGAAGAGACAGAGAATGAATGATCAGCAAAGTAGATGACTGGAGACAAATGGAGTCCTAGAAGTACAGTGGAAAAGCGTCTCCAGGGAGTGACCAGCTGGCTCCAATGCCTGGACAGGAAGAATGAGAGAAGGCTGCGAATAAACCATTGGCAGCCTTGACCGAACAGCATTTGACTCCTAACCTCATAGATCCCCACAGTCTGACTGCTGGATGGTGCTTAGGACTCTTAAAGTCAGCATATCCCCAGAACATGGGGTCCACGGCAGGCTGCATGGCCTTATAGAGCCTGCTATAGATCCTGACATGGTTTGCTAAGAGACATTCTAAGGGACTCATCAGTGGGCACTGACCTAGAGCAGCTATCCTCATGCTTACCTTGGACACACATTTTCAGTTCCTTAGGGTCGGTGATACCCTTTCTGCATTCCCGGATCACAGCCCGGTTCTTCTTTGTTTCTCCCCAGAGATTGGTGCCTCCGTACATGCTGGGGATGTTGAGAATAGCAATTCCTTCGAGGAAGACGTTGCTCAGGTCCACTGCAACCCCATCGCACTAGGGGACAAACAGATACGGCCATCTGTTAGTATCCTCAGTGTATCGCAACCTAGTGTGCCGTGTGGTGGAGGAGCAGGAGCTCTCCCACTCACTGATCTGACAAAGGAGGGGGGATTTAGCCTTGCAGTTAAGATGCCAACGAGGATGCCTGCCTCCCATATCACAGGGTCTGGGTTCAAGTCCTAGCTCCACTCCTAATTCTAGCTTCCTACTAATGTACCTCCTGGAGGCAGCAGGTGATGGCTCTAGTACTCTAGTCCCTAGTACTCTCTAGTCCCTGCAGCTGTGTGGGAGACCAGACACAGTTCCCAGCTCTCAGCCTCAGCCTGGCTTAGCTCTGGCCACTGTGGGCATTTGGGGAGTAAACTAGTCAGTGGACATTCTTTCTCTCTTTTTCTTGTTTCCTTGTATTCAAATAAGCAAACTAATTAATTAATTAAATGCAGGATATAACAGGTCCTCAGCTACCACCCTGTCACTGTCAGAAGCTGAATCTGGGCCACAGTTGCCACAGGCTCTAACACTTTGAGCTGGGGAGGCGCAATCTTAGCTGGCTGTGAGAAAGGCAGCCCACGGCTCTGGGACACATGGAAAAACCTAGATATGCTTTATGGGCAGTTCCAAGGTTAACTGCCAAACTGTTCTCCAGGCCAATCTCATTACCATCAATTATACCTCTGTTTAACCCTTGTGGAGATTTAGAGAGAAAGTGAGTACAGAACCCAACACACGGTAGACTCTTAACAAAAGACAGCCAATTTTCATTCTACCCCATCTTATTTCATTCCTTGTGTGAGAGGATAAAAGGCTTTCAGAGTCTGCTGTTGTCTGTATCTGTATCGTAAGTGCAGTTTTGGCATGTGCACCTGCTGATGTAGAATTTCTTCATCCAGTCTCCACCACTTGCACCCCTGCCAGATAACAAAGGCCAGAAGGCGTGAATCCGCCTGTCTCACACAGCTGTACAGTCGGCTCCTCTTTGGCGTCATGCTCATCGACACAGCAGAGCCATTAGCTTGTTCCTCAGTACTGTAGGTGCTTCACCCCATTTATAGACAGAAAAACACACCCAGAGAGGTGAGCCAGGTTATCTAAGACTGCACAGCTGAAAACCATAGGTTTCCAACTTGGGAGATCTGACTACTAAGTCCATGCTGTTTATCTTGCTTGTGGGGGGAAAGGGAAAACAATCAAAAGTGTACAGTAAAAATTCCCTACCTTTTAAGGCTGGCATTGTGGTACTGCACATTAAGTTTTCACCTGCAGGACCTGTATGGGCACTGGTTAAAGTCCCAGCTTCTCTGTTTCCCACCCAGCAATGCCCAGGGAAAGCAGCAGAGGACAGCTTGGGCCCTTGCATCCCCTTAGGAGTCTCAGAAGAAGCTCCTGCCTTCCGGCTTTGGTGAATCCCAAATATTTCTCCCTTTCTCTGTAACTCTTCCAATAAATATTTTTTAAAAATCCTCTGTCTTCAAGCTTACTACTGCTATGGTTTGGATGTTTCTACCCAAGCCTGCTGTTTTCACAATATTAAAAGGCGAGGGGGTGCTTTGGCTTGTGTGTAGCACAGTGACTAGGTCTCTGCTTGGAACACCCACCATCCCATCTCAGAATTCCTGGTTTGAGTTCCAGCTCCTGATCCAGCTTCCTGCTAAGACACAGCCTGTAAGGCAGCAGAGGCTGGCTCAAGTCCTCAGAGTCTTATGGGAGACCTGGACTGAGTTCTGAGCTCTTACTTTGGTCTGCCCCATCTCTGGGTGTGGTGGGCATTTGAGGAGTGCTTGAATTGATGGATATCTCTCTGCTTCTGTCTCTCTGCCTTTCAAATTGCGCACCAGAAGTGAAGCTTCTGGAGACAATCAAGATCAGCTTATCCTCGACTGCATTAGTGACTTTAGAAAAGAGGGAAGGGGCCCAGCGCAATGGCGTAGTGGTTGGGGTCCTCGCCTTGCACGTGCTAGAATCCCAGATGGTCGCTGGTTCTAGTCCCGGTGGCCCTGCTTCCCATCCAACTGCCTGTTTGTGGCCTGGAACAGCAGTCAAGGACAGCCCAAATCCTTGGGATCCTGCACCTGCATGGGAGATCCGGAAGAGCTCCTGGCTCCTGGCCTCGGATTGGCTCAGTTCCAGCCTTTGCGTTCACTTGGGGAGTGAACCATCAGATGGAGGATCTTCCTCTCTGTCTCCTCCTCCCTGTGTATCCGCCTTTCCAATAAAAACAAATAAATATTTCAAAAAAAAAAAAAAGAAAAGAAAAGAAAAGACGGAATGGGGACTCTCCCTCCTCCCCCCAGCAAATAAGCTTAACTGGCACTGCCCTGGCATGCCACAGAGACCCCACATGCAGAAAGGGATTCGTCAATGTGGCCTCCCACCCTGGAGCTCTGAAACTGTGAGCTGATTACAGCTCTATAAATCACCCAGTCAAGGTGTCAAACAGACTAAGACACTTACAACTCAAACATCCAGAGACTCTGTAACATGGAAGGCATAGAAAGCCAGGGCCTTGCTGCTCTTCACGCTCTCACTTCCTGACTCTCCAGATGTTCCTGATTTCTTAGAATTCTTGATTTTCTTAGAATCCCCATGGGTCCTGGCTCGATGGCTCAATGGCTATATCTTCACTTAAATCCTTACCTTGCAAGCACTGGGATCCCTTATGGGCGCTGGTTCAGGTCTCAGCTGCCCTACTTCCCACCTAGCTCCCTGTTTATAGCTTTGCAAAACAGTAGAGAATGGTCCAAAGCCTTGGGACCCTGCACTCATGAGGGAGACCCAGAAGAAGCTCCTGGCTCCTGGCTTTGGATTGGCTTAGCTCTGGCCAATGTGGCTATTTGGGGAGTGAACCAGCAAATCTTTCTATCTCTCCTTCTCTTTGTAAATCTTATCCACCTTCTCAATAAAAATAAATAAATCTTAAAAAAAAGAAAAGAATCCACATGGCTTGGTTTCGCCAACTTCGAAATAGAGTAGAGTGAGCTTCTCTGGTAACGGGCAGCTCATTTCTTCACTTTGAAGTTCTGATCATTTAAAAAGTCTAGACTCTCTCCTTTTGTTTCTTCATCCCATGAATTCTTTGTTCCAATCTGAAGGCAGATGGACTGATCCTCCTTTCTCTTGCATGGGGCCAGCCCTCCAGACATAAGATGCTAACTGCCATTGTCATGAGTCAGGAGTTGAGTAAGCACTGCCATTTGCTACACACATTCACATTTATCTCTTTTGCTTTGTCCATAATAATCTTATCAGTTACTATGACTACATCACACTTGGGGAAACTGAGGCACGGAGGAGGGTAAGTCACTTGCCTGAAGTCACACAACTTATAAGCAGAAGGACACACATTTCCAGCTACGCATTAGAGCCTGTGTCTTAGCCATTCTTACAGTTCTCCAACTTTCATACCTCTGTCTAGCTTGAAGGCTGTCACTGTTCTTCTCCTACAGGACTTGATTTTCAGACCTTTCCCCATCCTCGCTGCCCCCTTTTGCATGTACGCCAATTTGTTACCCACATACTGTAAAGGATCTCAGCACTGGAAACATTACCACCAACAGGGCCTGATAGGGCAGGTGGCAATAGCACAAGCCCTTCCTAAGTTTGGAATTTTCCAGCATTATCAGGCTCCAGAAATGAGATAATGTGCAAAGGCCTTGTAAAAACTCAGCACATGTTACCTATCTGCATTATTCTCATTGTCACCAGGCCTTTTGTTAGCAGCTACATGGTGGCTTCATATTAATTTGGACAGGAGGTAGTCACAATCACTTAGCCCTTCATCCCACAAGCCACTTCTCAGCCAGCTCTTCCCCACCCTGAACTTGTGCATTCTTCAGAATATCTTTATATTAATTAATCTCATCTGATTTTCAGCCCAGGCCTCTGCTGGTCCATCCAGCTTAATTCAAATCTTCATTCTGTAACCCTTGGCCAGTGCTCTCCCATCATTTCGGTTAAGTCATTAATACTTGTGTATATAGTGAATAAACAGTGACCAAACCCTTGCCCAGGTAATCTTACACACCAGGTGTTGTGCGTGAACAATTCCCGAGGTGTGGCTGCTTTATTGGGGTTGCATCTTCAGGATAGTCTTGATCCTGGTCTATTTTTTTATTGCATGGCAAAATCTCTGAGCTTGGAAATGAGAGACACCTGAGAGAACATATCCCATCTTTCATAAAAGAGGCTCAGTGACATTAGGAAACTTTCCTGTGATCATTCAACTAATTGATTATGGGTCTAGATTACTCTCCAAGTCTCCACACTGCAGTTTTACGTTCTTGCCAATGAAATGCAAAGACATGGTGCTGAGACCAAACAGCATTTCCCAAATGCTCAGCCTAAAATCTAAAGGAATACAAAACTCATCAAAAAGAAATAAAAGCTTCATACTAGTCTCCAACAGCTGTGCATGAAGGTCAGTTACTTAGTTAATAATCTCTTCCAGAATCCGCCCAAGGATCAGAATAGTTTGGGGCCAGTCTGTAGTTCATAGAATACATGGTTTTCTCATTCAAAACAAAACAAAACAAAACAAAACAAACCAAACAAAACCAGGAAACATTTTGTCTGTTTCCCTTTCATTGGATAGAACAAATTATGTTTTCTAGATTTGTTGAAATGGGTCCTACCATGTGTCAACAGATCACCATAGCCAATGATGGACTATAGGCTCTGGTGGTCCTGTTTAGCATCCGCTCTTCCGTTTTTGATTTAGGGCCATTCTCTCTGGAAGGTATGGAAATGCTCCGGAACGGCAATGTCTATGCTTTCCTTTTGGCTGCCAACGTTGTCTAACACTGTGCTTGGCCTCCAGTTTCCAGGCTTCCAGGTGTGAGTCACTTGTCTCTTCACACCTGGGTCAGGTGTCATACCTGCCTCTGGAAATGTATTATAATCCCCTCTCTCCCCTTTCCCCCACAGCATGGCCTCAACCAGAGCTCCCTGTTATTGTCACAGTGATTTAAAACACAAAACAAACTTCTTTCCCTGTTTTC